ATCTAAAGAAGAGAGAGCAAGCTGAATATCTGCCTCGTGAGAAATTGACTGAGAAGCGTGGCTTGGAGGCATTGTAGGCAAAGGTGTGGTGGGTGCGCAAAGTTGGTAGGGTGACCGACTCGCTTGCCTGACCGACTCGCTTATCCGTCACGTTATACAAAAATCCATTGTGCACTATTTATAAGTTTCGATGAATTCTGGGGGGAATGCTTGAAGCTTAAGTTAAACATTAACAGCTCTTTCAACTGATGCAATCAGCGCTACAATTTGCAGAGTTCACCCGCGCTTATCATGTTTGTCACTCTCTGCGAGAAACTAAATGCAACCGTGAACAAAATAGAAATGCAACCCCAGATAGATCCCGATGCCATATCCTGAAATGAACGACCTGATTTTCGCGGCATTATATGCATTGGAACAAGCGGGGATATACGGCTTGAAAAACTCCGATGTGGAGGAAATCTTAGTGGGTGTCAGTCATTATGGTGCTGGACTGCAAGACTGGATGGTACAACCCTTCGACTGTGATTGGTATATGTCTACCAGCAATTGGTAACAACGTGTCTCGATGTCACGGCAACTATCTTATTAGCTCTCAGATCTCCTGCTTTACAATACTATCTGTATCGTCCTCGCCAAACTCGGTGTACCATTTGTGGACGAGACAAACAAGTAATACATTCCGGGGATAAGTACACCACTGTCGTTTGGCAGGCGTACTGTGTAGCGAGCGCCGCTTGCAGAAACATTCGTCAGAGGAATACGTCTTTGGTCAGTGTTGACCGAATGAGTCACGCTACCCATGCGCACAAGCGCGAATTTGAGATTCGATGCTGATGCTGACATGTCGATCGTGAACGAGCCGCCGATCTTGATAGACCGGGCACTCACACTGGAGATGACAGGGCGGGCGGCGATCGAACCGTCAGAATTGAAAAGATACGGTGGCGAGAATATCTGCCCATTGGGATGGTTGGCATTTGGATCGCAATTTCCGCCAGTCCAGCAGAGACCTCCGCCTCCGCTGAAGACACGGCCGTCAGCGAGCAAAATGCTGATCGAGTGATAATTCCGGGGAATAGCTTCTGGGGCAAGAGTCCGCCACTGTTTGGTGTAAGGGTTGAACAACTCGGGATAAACTACGGCGTCGGTGTCTTGGAATACCCTAGCCCACCGCTGGCCACCCGTGATGAAGACTGTACCATCTGGAAGCACGACAGCATTGGAGTAAGCACGAGGAAAGGCCATGTCTGGCATGCGCTCGACCTTGGCGGGCTGGTATGGCTTGTCGATGGTAGTGATATGTGCACGAGTAAGAGACGGGGCGTCGGAGTAAGAAGTTGAGCCAGCGGCACTGAAGATCTTACCAGGCTCATACATGACAAAGATGCCACACATTGCATGGTTATCATCACGGATGCCTGCACCAACTTGTGAACCTTGACCTGCGGTACCGTACCAGTTCTGCGCCATGCTAGGACCAGCTTGAAAGACTGAGCCATTCCGCCATGCGAATAGCCAAGCGTGGTTGTCCTCTCTCCAGATACCAGCATTGTCCTGAGTCAGCATAGGTCCAACTTTAGCACCAGGAAGCGGCGTCCAATTGTTGCTCTTCGGATCGTAGATCTCGCCATCCTTTCCCTGGAGGGGACCAGTGAATGCTCCTCCTATAGTAAAGATCTTGTTGTCAGAGGTTGTAACAGATGATTGGTAGCCTCTAGCCATCTTGAGGTCAGGACCACGGGTGAACTCATTAGTCGACGGATTGTAAAAGCTCGTTACAGCTGCGTCTGCACCTCCTTGAATCAGGATTCGGCCATCCTGGAGACTACTGATTCCAGGACAGAACATATCGTGTTGGGTGTTCGCAACAGTTCTAAGGGACGTCTGGCCACTGCTATGAGTTAGGCGCACGTCTTACGCGGTGAATTTGCTAAACTTACGTATTGAAATTGTAATCTCCAAATACAGTCTGCTTCATGGGGCCAGAAAACTCAAAAGGCTTGTATGCGCTGAACACGAGCAATCGTGATGAAGCAGGGAATTCAGGAACGACATAGCCGGCAACAGGAATCAGCGGGAACCACACTAGGTCAGACCATTCGCCCTTGGTAGCTCGAGGAAACTTGAGATCTAGTCGGATGGTGTCGAATTGCTTGTTTAATGTCCATACAATCGTATTTGTTTCCTGGCTACCCTTGAAATGGCAGGCTCTGGAAGTTTCGTCCCACAAAGCATGACTAAATGAGGGGAGAAAACCGTTAGCTTTTGCTGCAAATGTCCTCCAATTGTCAGAACCACTTACACACATGCGCCATCCCGAGCGCAACGGTCAGCACAGTCGTTCAATGAGTTGACATTCCGTTGAATTTGAAGAGTACCACCCCGGAGGTCTGAAGAGAGACAGATCTTGTAATTTTTCTGGATATTGAGTGAGTACCAATGCTCTATGTGTGACAGCGATTAATAACTTACACCATTACTAGAGTAGGACGTCTCTTGGCCTGGGCAGCGAGCGATTTCCTTGAAGTTTTGTTGAATAACGTCAAATTGCTGACTCGGCTCCCAACGCATATCACCCTGAGCTTTGATATGGCAATAACGATAGTCGTGGTCATAAACCGCCCTATAACAATTCTTATTCTGATCGCACATTGCAGCGCATTCTTCGAGCGAATTAACATTGCCTCGCATTTGAACAGTTTGTCCCACGAAATCAGAGTTGGGGCATAGTTTGTAGCTCATGCCACTCGCACCAGTATAAATCCTCTCGCCATTGGGACATGCATCAAGAGCAAGCGTGGTCCTGAGGAAGGCCGCTGTAGTGAGCAACGCTGTCGCGATATAGATCATGCCGCTGATGAATGTGAGGATATGAAGAAACGATTGCTGTAAAACAAGGACAGCGATGAGTGAGAAGATTAGTTCAGAGTCTTCATAAGAGGGTGCTCCTATATTTTATATTGTCACATCCAAAATCGGATTCCGAGCTGTTGCCAAGGCGTACCATTGACAAGTCTTTGGAGCAGTAGGCGCGGAGCTTGCACCGCAATGCAGTTGCAAGAACGAGGAAACTAACCATTCCCGATTTATCAGAATCCAGAAACCCTTTTATCATGGCCGTGTTCTGACCACTATTATTAGTGTCATGTGCAGCCACTAGATGACAAATTTCGTCCTAGTCAACTTGCTAATATCGCTGAAACATACGTAGCAGATCCCATTAGAAAAAGCATATTTCTCTTGGCACGAACGCTTCCAGACAATATGTCAACTTCAATGCGAACTACCGCTCGGCAAACCCCTGAATCCATCGCACCTAGGTGCAAGCCACAAAAACTTTTTTCACATAGTAATCAAAGGCATCAGGAAACCATGTATTGCTCATAGTGATAGGACAGCCACGAGAATAGAAATCCACTTCTTAAGCTATGTGACTTGCCGGCTCTTGTAGAGTAGCTTGGCAGAGAACAGTCGTTTCTTTGAATCGAGACTTCTTTGTAAAGCTGGAAATGCCAAGACCCTTAGCTAGTAAATGGTAGCTTCAAAGCCCCTTATTGCCGAGCCATTAGACAGCTTAGCATAAGGTATGAACGGCTATGGTACTCTGGAAGCCCGTGTGGCGGGAGATCTTAGTGCCTCTCTGGAATCGCGGAGGATGTACATACTGTTGATAGAACCAGTTTACACGTATTTGGAACGTGCTGCACGTTTCTCAAACGCTTGGTGTAAGTAAGAGATGTGTCGGGTTAGGTCGCAGCCATATGGATAAGTATTGATTGCAGTTCATTTACAGCTGACCACTTCCAAAGTATCCGTTGGATAGATCGAAGACTGCAGCATCACTGCGGCCCCTGAGTTTGGATGAGCGCCGCTCATTGTCATCTTTTGGCGGATCTACGACAAATCCACCGCTCACTTCCAGTCGGTCGAATGTTACGTAATTCATGATGCCTGGTGCGTCAATAGTAGTGGGTTACGAAAATACAAGAATATGCGCAAGAGGTGCCTCTTCAGAGAAAGTGATAACAGTACTTGAAGTTCAATTTGTCTGAGTATCGTTTTATATCCGTTCACGTCAGGTACTACATGCTAAAAAGCAGGACCTCATAGTTCTATATGACGCTCACTCTGCTTCGTAAAGTTAGATTTTGACACAAGCAAGAAGTGGCTAAATGATGTCTTTAAATTGTAAAACTATTAATTCGGGAACATGGTCACAGAAACCTGCGCTCTAGTGGATTTTATAGAAGCATTCGAGACGTGACCTGCAGGTTTGGCGACTCTGAGTGGAGATGCATTACCGATGAATCGGAGAGAAGTGCTATACATCATGGTTGTGCCATCTAGTCTTCGAAATGGTCGTCTTTCATGATGACCGTGTGGAGTGGCGATGAGGGTAGACACACAAATGTATTGCGTATCCTCTATGCTCTGTGCTTATGCATTAGAATATTTATACCGCTAAGGGCATCACATGGTGAATTGTATGTGCGTGAAGTGGACTGAATCTCGTATTCCGTATCGTAGCTCTAGGTGGTTGTGTGCATGGACCGCTTGATGGCACGTGTCACTAACATATCTTATACATGACGATATGCTCGACGAACAGGTGGACCAACTGTGCACATGTACATTTGTTCATAGGCGGAAACGATTTTCGAGATGATGTTGTTATTCTCTCGTTGCAGTGATGCCTCACTGATGAATCACGGTGCGACGGTCACTAATCGCTCATGCAATCCTTTTCGGCCACGTCTTCGCCTAGTAACGCGCCAACCAAAACGTCAGTATCTAGGCGCGTCGACAACTGTGTCACTACCATCAGTCCACAACTACATCGTTAAGTTGCCGATATGTACAGTGAACAGACTGCCATATGTGTGCGTAAGAGCTTTCGATAGCCGCTCCAGGGCAAGCCAGGATTACCCGAGATTAATAAAGTTTGAGTCGACCGCCCGCTGGGTGAGACAAATATCATTGGACATCTCGCTTCGGCACCTTTCTACTGTGAACCACGCAGCAAAGAAACCTCCTTGGCAGAAGTCCCGAGAAATCCAGTCGACTGTTATAACAGAAGTAAGGGCCGAAGAACTCAAGCATCCAGCAAGGGAGTCGTCTGAACAAGGGTTTAGCGACGAGCAACTGGGTGTGTTAGACCTCGTTTTGAATAAAGGCGAGAACGTCTTCTTCACGGGCCCTGCAGGTACTGGAAAGTCGTATCTTCTCAAGAAAATCATAGAAGGCTTAACGGTCAAGTACCTTGGGAATAGTATCGTCCGCGTTGCTGTCACCGCGTCTACAGGACTTGCTGCTCACACTATCGGTGGAAAGACGCTTCATAGTTTTGCTGGGATAAAGCTTGGCAACGCTCCTACAAAAAAGCTTATCGATGATATTCACAAGAATAAAACATCATGGGAGCGTTGGACAGGAGTTGAGGTCCTTATCATTGACGAGGTATCCATGGTTGATAGCACTCTTTTTGACAAGCTTGACATCATTGGACGCGCAGTGCGATTCTCGGACTTACCATTTGGAGGAATTCAGCTGGTTATCACAGGGGACTTTTTTCAGCTACCTCCGGTAGTGCAAGGGAGTGACGATGGAAACCCGAGGTTCTGTTTCGAAGCCAGGGCATGGAAAGATGCTGTTCGGCACACGATCAGTCTGACTAAGGTCTATAGACAGAAAGACCCGTTATTTGCCGGAATGTTGAACGAGATGCGCGAAGGCCGTCTCTCACCAAGTACCATTAGCACTTTTCGAAGACTGAGCAGGCCGATAAGGAAACTTGCAGATAAGGGGCTGGAAGCCGCTCAGCTCTTCCCCCTACGTCGCGAAGCTGACGCTGCGAACACCACAAGATTGCAAACACTCAAAGGCAAGGTTCACAAATACCCATCGTACGATGGCGGAATTATCACAGACACGAATACGCGCAAGAGACTCTTATCCAATTGCCCCGCACCAGAGCTGATCCAATTGAAGCGGGGTGCACAAGTTATGCTTGTTAAGAACTTAGGTCACGGCCTTGTCAACGGATCTCAGGGCCGTGTAATCGGTTTCGCAAATCGGGCCAATTTTCCCCACGCTCGATGGCACGACAAGGACTACGTTGCCAGTGAAGATTGGGATCCTGAAACCAGACAGATCACGGACAGGGATGCCTTACCAGAGGAGCAACCGCCACTTTACCCTGTTGTGCGCTTTCATGGGTCAGGTGGCAGACAAACTGTACTCTGTTGCCCTGAGCGATGGGTTATTGAGCGATGGATTCGTATACAGGCAAAGAAAGGCGAGGACGACGATGAAAAGGATACATGGTTTTGCCAGGAGCTTGCAACTCGCACCCAAGTCCCCCTTATCCTTGCATGGGCGTTGAGTATTCACAAGGCACAGGGTCAGACACTATCACTTGTGAAGGTGGATTTGGGCAATGTATTTGAGAAGGGCCAGGCGTACGTGGCATTGTCCCGTGCGACGAGCATAGACGGCTTACAAGTGCTGAACTTTAACCCTTACAAGGTACAAGCACACCCGAAGGTCAAGGCATTCTACGCGAGCTTGTCAAGACTACGACACTGTGATGAATAAAACAATTCGTCTCAAGTGTACAAAGCTTGAAGTCTATATTACAGCTAGTCAATACATGTGCCGTCTCCGAGCAACACCACTGCATTGCTATCATGATCCGGTTTTGACACGCGAGCCTCTCTATGTCGGCCTAAAATCATGCGCAGTGCTGGAATGACTAGGTGGTGCACCACCAGTCCTGCTAGTGTCGGCACTCACAGGTTGTTCTACCTTCTGGTAAGCATTATCGAACAAACACTTCAGTATATGAAGTGAGAAGATTACCGCAGTTTAATTATATTTCTTTGCGCAGGGAACAACAGTCTATAAGAAAAGCGTAAAGTAAAAAAAAAAGGCGACTATGCAGACCCCCATCAAAAAGTCGATGATCCTACATGCGCGAGAGAAAAGGCACGCATCGGTAGACGTAAATGCTCGTGCTAGGCATACCTGAAAACCCGTGATTGCTGCTCGCCAACTTCTAAACTCCTCATAACATGCCAGTAGTATCGAAATTCATTGATCATCAACACGTCGAAGAAATCTCAACTCCATCTCCCGTCTCCAATATATCCACCTACGACTCCCCCCCATTCTCCAGCGCTTGCCTCCTCTTCTCGGCTAACTCTCTCCTCTTCCTCTGCTCGCTCCCCGCATGCGAAATCGCCATGACCATGTTAAACGCAAACGTGCCGACGAAAATCACAACCACAAACCCTAGGATAACAAGCACACTAACCATGCTGAAGACAACGAAAACAAAAGCTGCTTGTACAAACGCTTGGTCGTTTTCAAGAGAAACGGGCGATGTGGAAGGGAGCGAGAAGCTGACTTCCATGGCCGATAGCACGACGGAGAAGAAGACAAAGACGATAAGGACCCAGGAGAATTTCCGCTGGAAGAAGATGACGTAGCGGTTGTATCCCCATCTATCCACCAGTTTCTCGTTAGCAATCTCCCCTCACAAAGACTCCAAGAATCAGAAACAGGATTGGAGGACACATACAGATACCCCCTCACAAAATGCGTATGCGCATACCTAACCCGATACGTCGTGTTGATCCTTCCCAATCTCAGATCCCCAAACTGATATCTCTTATTCACCTGATGCAGCGTATCAATATCCACATGGGCGATGAAATCGCTAACAAAGGCCTTCCACCAATGCCATGTTACAAATGTCGGAAGTAAGGAATTCTCGTGCGCAAGCTTGAGGTCAAGCGGTGTGGTGACGAGCCAGACGTAGCTGACGAGGAAACCCGCGGCGCTTTTCCAGAGCCAGCCAGGTTCGCGTTTGCCATTGTCAGAGTCGGTGTGGGTGCAGATCCAGTCGGTCCAGAATTTGTGGCAGAGGATCCATTCGGGGAGGGGTTTGATGAGGAGTTTTGAGCTGAATTTTAGGAGGTGCAGGTCCATTTGTTGGGTTTGGATGACTTGCATGCCGAGCATTGTGTAGCGGTGCAGAGGGCGAGCGCGCATGGGACGACCGGCCATCCAGAGGTGGCCATGGATGCGGTTTAGGCGGGCGAGATCGAGGTCAAAGGCGAGGAATTCTGGGATTTCATACTCGGGTCTGATGATGTGGTCGCTTTTGCCGGTTATGGTAGGGAGGGAGTCAAGAGCTGATAAGGGCTGGCTTGTGGATGATTGGAAAAAAGGTTTTGTGTTGTTGGGAGGAGTATTTCCATTCTGGCTCAGGGTTCCAGCTGTCGACTCAGTATGATCCGCATCCGCGTTGGAGTTTGGTGGAATAGGCTGCAGAGAGAAGGGAGGCTTGAGCATGTAGCTCTCGTGATTTGTTTGAGCTGGCATTTTTTCAGTCATAGTATTTCCCTTTGAGCGAGAACCAGGGGAGGGGAAAATCAAACATGGTGCTGAGCCATATATAAGTTTGTCGCAGGCTGTGGGTGTGGCAGTGTCACGATGTTCTTACACGTGCAAGCATACCAGGCACACGACGACATGGGATGGCGGGAGCTAAGGGGATAGTATGCGGGCTGGGCGGGGGCCAAAATGCGCCTGAGGCGGAGTCTTGGTGGCACAGTCGATGCAACTACGCATATCGCAACGTGTGATTGGATAGAAGCCTGTGTCGACTTGGAGTGCTAAGCCACCTCGTGGAGGAGGCTGGTGACCTTTGCATGGAGATAGTGTTAGCTCCAAGAATGTCTCAATTCTGTTGAAAACTTCAAACAATAATAACAATTATTCAGCCTCAGGAGTGACCAAGGCCGCGTAGGGATACCAACGCCTCCGTCTAATGCAGTTTTGGATATCAGTTTTTTGTTAGCCCCATTTTGTCCCGCATCCGCATGTCATGTCTGTGTTGCAAGCCCACACTCATTTGCAGTAGTTTGCAGGGAAGCTGCCCTTTTGCCCACGAACCTCACCCTCCCACCAGTCCTGTGAGCTCTGCGTCTTCTTGATGACTCTAATTCGGTCACCTTCCCTAAATGACAGATCACCAGGCGTAAGGCTGTCGAAGTCGTACATGGCCGTCACATAATCGGACTGGAAAGAGCCTATCTTCTTTGGCGGAGGTGGCGGCGGCTTCTTCTTTCCAGCCGCAGGATTGGGCGAGGTTGGGTATCCGCCTGGGGTTGAGCCATTGGAAGCGGCTGACGAGATCTTGTTGAAGTAACCATCCCCATTAGTGCCATTCGAATACGTGGAGGTCTGAGATGTAGATGACAGACGTCGGCCGTACATGTCGCCGCCAGGGCTCAGATGGGGCGAGCCAGAGATCTTGGGCTTTGTAGCACTGAGCGAGCTGTATGAAGGTTTGCTGGCTAGGCTGATGGGGGGAGGGGCGCCTTCCGATGTTGAAGACAGGGCAGGTGGGGGCCGCGCCGGTCTCCCAGCGCTGCTGATGGTATGTATGCTGTCATTGCTACTAGCTCTCCGGCTGGGCAGCACCTTGTTCCTGATTCCCAGACCGGTCACAGTGTCTCCCTTGTCTGGCAATCGCATAGGCATGTGAACTGCTTTTCCTGACTTGAGCAAGCCAAGGCTTGTCTCCATCTCTGTGCGCAGTGGTGTAAAGCTTGCGTCCCATATGGGTATCACCTCTTCGGGCTCGGGCGGGGGGTCTGGGTAGCCTTGCTCGTTTGAGTATTGATGTAGTACGGTGTACAAGTTTCCAATCAGGTTATTTTGTAACACAATCTGGTTGGCGAGAAGGTGAGGTAGGATGGAAAAGGTGGCAGCGTTGAGGCGCGGGAGACGCTCACGGAGATTCTCGTCAGCGAGGTGGTAGGCATGGGTAGAGCGCTCCAGGTCGACTTCGTGTTTCGCAAGCGCACTGTTCTCACGCTCAGAGCGTGTCTTTTTGTTCTGCAGAGTTTCGCAGCGGCTCTTGTAGCGTTCGTAATCGACCTGAGTGAAGGGTGAGTATGACGACGGACGAGCTGGTGCAAAACGTGGCGAACCTTTGCGTCTTCGCGCTTCTTGATGGCCTTCTCCATGGGCTTCAAGGCATCGCGGGCAAGCTTGGCAGGCACGACAAGTTTCCTGTCAATGTCCTTGACCTCTTCCATCATATCCGTCTTAAGTTCGGAGAAAGCTTCGTGGAGGCCATGGACGCGCTCCAAGACATCAGCCGGGGTTTCGACATGGACATGTGTGCTGGAGCCGCCTTCGCCGCCGAGAGGCTTGAAGATGGTGTAGAGCTGCTCGACCGAGGACAGCTGGTGGTTGAGAATGTTTGTCCAGGCGTCTCGCCATTGCTTTGCAGAGGCTTCGAGCTAGGGGGGGGGGGGAGTTGTTAGTCGACTAGGACGTAGGCGATAGTACAGTAGACAGTAGAACAGATAGTAAAGTAACAGGGCGTTGTTTGTCGACGGCAAGGACAAAGCCAATGCCAGGGAGGGCATGTCTCGCGACGACCCCACATGTCCCAAGCAGGCCATGGCTTGAGGCGACCAGCCACAATGGAACGCACCTTTTCCAACATGACCTTGGAGTCTTCAAAGTCCTTGAGCATGGCCTCGACGTCGGCCTCATTGGGCGTGCGCGTCAAGAAACGGCCCGTGAACCTTTGCATGCGCTGCATCTTGAAGGGGCGGAGGGCAAGCAAGCAATTGCAGGCAAAGGGAGTAGGGAGAGAAGAATGCAATGCAATGCCAACACTGCAAGTGGCAGACAATGGGGTTAAGCAATGGGTGATGGACAATTCGCAGACAGGCTAGCGGTGGCTGTGCCCGTGAGGCGGCGGGTTGGGCGTAGACGGAGGAGAGGGAGAGCACAGGCACAGGCACAGGCACAGGCACAGGCAATGAACGGACGCACATGGGCGGCCCCGCGAGTGGATTGCGTTGCTTGCATGCCCTCAGCTCGCACTTGTCAGCCCGGTCAGCGCCAGGCACCGCAGACGTGGCATGACTGAAGTGGAGAAAGACTAGGTTTGGCACGCCTCCTTACGTATCCCCGGGTGGCTCGGCGGTGAATGGACGGCTATTCGGTGCAGGTGTAGTACTGGTACTTGCGTATGCACATACACACGCACACACCCACACATGCTTACTCGCACCCGGCAAAGTAGTAGGCCCGCGCCAAGTCACGTGACGACGCGATAGCAGCAGCACGCGTTGCCCTCACGCCGCCTCCTTCACGCCGACCATCAGCCCCGCCCCCATGTCGTGCACTACTACACATCCGCCCACCACGCGTCCCCCCAGACTGCCCGTGCCATGACGGCCCCTCTGCGCAATACCCAGCACGCCTCCGCCATTGCTGCCATCCAGGCCTCCCAAAGCACCGCGCCTGTCGCCGAGTTCCGCTGTCTCTTCACCCACGATGTCCGCCGCAAGCAGAAGCGCTGGCAGGATGGCTTCCTCAAGTTCCACACCTTCAACAACCGCGTCATGGTCTATGATCACGCCCGCAACTTCCTCGGTGACACCTACTACAAGGACAGCGACGAGCTGCACGAGGGCGACGAGCTGAACCTGAACAATGGCGCTCTTGTCGAGGTGTCGGAGCCTGTGGGCATCACGCATACAGACCTGGCCGCTGTTTTGGGCAGGAAGGCCAAGGACCTGCCACCAGCTCAGAACCCGCCTTCCCAGACAAAGCCCTACCAACGCCCATCGTCAGTGGCGCCGCCAACCGCGCAGAAGGCCGCCTCGCAACTGCGCCACAAATCCCTCAATACGCTGCTTGGGACGCCAAAGGGACCCATTGGCAAGGCACAGCCCATAAAGTCACCATACGAGGCTCGCAAGGAAAAGGAAAAGGAAAAAGAAAACGAGTTGGCTGGGGAGCGGGCTGCAAAGAGACAGAAGACAAGTCAGGCGCCCGCAAGCTGGAGAGCGTCTAGCCCCGCACAAGAAGAGAATGTCGAGCCAAAAGAACCATCGCCGAGACCGACAAAGGCTGTGGCCGCACGCAAAGCTCGACAGCCAGCAAAATTCATACCCCCGACAGCTACCGTCATCACAATAGAGGACGAGCCCGAGCCTGAGCCCGAGCCTCACCCGGCCATGTTCTCCGATATCACACTACCGGGTACGCCACCTCGAGTCGCTGGTAAGATAGAAGAGCTCCAGGCTGCTAAAACAATTGTGCCTCGTCAACCCCCCGTACAAACTCCAAGAATTCCAAAAGGCAGAGTACCTTTACCTGGTGTGCGGGCTCTGGAGACACCCAGGCAGCCAGCTCCGCCTTCCTCGCCCCCAGTAAGCGCCTCAAATCGCTTGTCCAACATCGAGTTTGCATTGCAACCGGTTCAAGTACCATCCAAAGAACCGTCCCCACCACGAGCGCCCTCCTCGCCTCCGGCTCGCAAGGCCCGATGCCTTAGGCTGTCCACTGGAGTAAAGCGTGGGAAGTTATTGTGCCAGCCTCTACCACCAGAAAGCGCAAAAGACGATTCCATCTCTGCCAAACGGTCACCAAGGAACAAGCGAGTTCTGACAAATGCGGAACATGGTGCGGCAAAGAGAGCAAGAGTGTCCAGATCTCCATCCTTTCCGTCGCCCAGTCTCCATGAAGATCCAGAAGTCATCCATGGCCTTATGGATCAGCAGTTGTTAGTTACTTCATCGCCCATACATCCTGACTCAGCATCTTCACGTGCTGTCGACGGTATCTCAAAATCTAAACATACTGTAGGGGCAATGGTCAGTGACATGGCCGTTCAAACAAACACGGTTCAGCCTATGACTACCAAATCGAAAGCGTCGTCAACTAATGAAACAACTGGAAGAAGACCTACGAGAAAGGCAGAAAAGCCCAAGGCGGCACCAAGGGCTCCATCTCCTGTACTACGGGACCCAGGGATACCGACATCGAGAGACGTGTCTCCAGCACATACGGAAGTCTCCGACGCACAATCACGAACCTCGGCAATATCTTCTCGCAAAGTATCACTCTCCACGGGCGGCATACTCAAGAAGGCTGCTACTCGTACCAAAAAGCAATCAGCCTTGACAGATTCCAAGCAAAATGCTCCGACGCTACCACCTCAAAGTGAGCCCGTGTCGCTCTCACCACGTCCCTCACGAGCCAACAAAAAAGCGCCTTTGATGAGTACCACTGAACTCGCTGGACTCCTTCAAAAGCCCAAGAACCTCGCCAAAGCACTCGCAGATCCTATTGAGGATGGTGGAGAAACGAATCATGAAGGCAAGTCGCCGAACCGTACCTTTCGACGCGTTCGAAGTGAGAACGATGCACCAATTCCTAGTATTTCGGAAGAATGGGAAAGGCTCAACTTGCCCAAGCCCAGCAGCCCCGCTACAGATACTGTCAATGAGCCGACAATGGCGAGTACAGTTGCCGTAGAGAAAAAAAAGAAGAAGGACAGCGGGCTAGGCACGCTTATCAAGAAGACGGATCCCCGGCGCAAGTTCAAGAGAACGCAGAGTTTGCAGGTAGATACACATGTGGCGCCGCCAGCGGCTGAGGAAGAAGTCGACTTGCCGAGCCCTGTTATGGATCTGGATGTTGGACCCTGGAGCACAGAAGCAGGCGATCTTTTTGACTGGAGACCGCCGGGGAGGCTGTGAATACCTTAATATGAGGGCACGTGGTTACGATTGTATTATGTTGATATCCTTGGTCAAAAATCAACTTCTTTTTGGCACGGCAATGGTCGTTACCGAAGCCATATTTCAGTACAGAACAGCTCTCATCGCAGGTGATGTACCACTCTAGCCTTATGTCCGCATGCTGAAGTTCAAGAATCTCAGCATGAAAAGTTTGCCCTGTAGCTGTGCCCATCTTTGGTGTGTCGATTGGTATCATTGGAGCCAAGTATTCGTCTTCAATATTCCACAGTGCCTACATAAAAACTCAAATGGCTTTCACACATTTCTCACGACCACAATGCTTTGTCTTTGTTTGACTTGCGACAAAGTCGTGGTAAACACGACACCAAATCCGGCCATTTGTGACACAAAGACTTGTGTGAATGTACTGAACAAAGACCGACAGCGCCCCTTGTATCTTCAACAACCACAACTTGGATACCGATTTGAATCGTCTCATGTCGTCTATTTTACCAAAACAACTTTTCTCCACGCTACCATGGCTGTAAACATTGAAGCACAATATGCTGCACAGCAAATCGACTTTGCCACACTAGAACAGATTTACATACCTCGAACACTGGAAGTAGGCTGGATCCACTCTATCCAAACCGAAGGAGGTCATGGCGAAGACTTTCGCCTTTTTACGATCGGTCACAAACTCAAACATTGGCAGCGAACAGGAAGTAAGTTCAATTACACACTTAACGAAGCACATCACTTACACATATACTCAGCTATACCGTCGGAAAAGAAAGTTGTTCACGCATGGGGAAACACGGATGCTATCAGTCGAGAGCCGTTTATTGTGATTGCAGAAAGCGAACCAGATCCACGTTTACACCGAGAAAATTTCGAAAACCATGCCGCTCTGCTCACATTTGCCGACAAACATGTCCGTCAGGAGGAGCATAATGACTTTAGGGGTTTCGTATACGGATGCCGGGTCACAGATATACGATTGCGAGCTGGTACGTTTTACCCAATCTTCCACTCTCCCGATTCCAACGCGCGTGCTGACCTCAGAAACAGAATCACAAGCCCAAACCCTCATCAACCGATGGAAGGAAAGAACGCCCGCTGAGCATACCCACTATATAAGCCGCGGAAGGCAATTCTATGAGAGACATCTCGTGCAATTCCCCCACCTCCGTCCCGCAACCGCCGGCGACCATCTGTTCACCAAGGACCCAACCCCAGAAGCCACAATGTCAGACATCGCATTCGTAAACCTACACGATGCACGATCAACCAACGAGCCCAAGAAACCTGCAGGGTCACGCTGGGTCTTTGAGCGAACGCTCATGCAAGTTCCAGAAGCCACATTTGGTGACTACCAGACCCAGCGCATTGTGCATTTGTTTGCGCTCGTGTCTGCGGAGCATATCATCTTGAAGGTAAACAACCTCCCCTTTTCTTGCCGATTTTCCATACTACATGAAGACTGACTTTATACGCAATAGCGAATGGTTGTCAAAATAACCGGCTCACTCACAACCCGCGAGGTCGAAAAAATGCTCACCCGCGAATACGACAATGCGCATAAGAAGCTCTCCGACATACCCTGCCCACATATCCTAAAAGCATACGGATCAGCTATTCGTCGAAGAGCCAGTTCACCGCAGCTTGGATATATATTCATGGAGTATGCTGAGCATGGGGATTTGGGAGATTATCTCGCGAAGCATGCGCTCGAGCATCCGGGGTGAGTTTGCCTGTTTTTTTTTTCGATTTCTTCTTTACTGTGAAGTTGTAATTGCATCTTGCTAAATTTCTATACAGCAAACAACTCCCTGAACCGTTCCTCTGGCTTGTATTCCGCGCGATGGCCGAAGCCGTGTTCGTCATGGCACTGGGGAAACCGGTGCCTAAGCATCTCCCGTTGGATAGGTACGGGCAAGGCTTGAATCTTAAGCCTGTTGAGGGGTGGAAGCCTATTGTAAGTAAGTATCTCCCTCAGTTGACTCCTCTGTATGCGAAGGCACAACACTAATCTCTCGTTCCCGCTACTTCTAGACCCAGATATCAAACCCTACAACATCGTCTTCGCAACACCACAGCCCGACTACTACCCCGCCTACCCAACCCCCAAAATGATCGACTTCGGTCTCTGCTTCGACGACCAGTACTTCAACGATCCGAAGCGCAAGGCGTTTGGTGTAGGTACTACGGGATATGGTCCACCGGTAAGTCCCCCCATCCATCCAACTAACCCTCTTCCTTTTCCTCCTTCCCTCCTCCATTCATGATGGGTAGTACAGAGCCCCCAGCTAACCCATCCAAGGAACACGACTACAAAAACTTCCCAGACTACCGCAGCCAACCCGTCGACATTGCCTCGGAAATCTTCAACGTCGGCCTCACAATGCTCAACATGATGGAACCCTGGATCTCGCGCGGAATGACCAGCACCGAGCAAACGCAGCTCGGCTTTGAGCACCACGAAAACTACTCGTACTGCTACTCCAGCCGCCTCGAGGAACTCGTATTCCGGTGTTTGGAGTTCCCGCAGCCCAAGAGGCCCGCGCTGACGGAAGTGCTGTATTACACCCGTATCGGCCTGAGGGAGTGGGAGAATGCGTATGGCAGTGTTAATAAGGCTAAAGAGAATTTGCTGGGGTTTGCGAGGGTGGAGGTGGAGCAGGTGGACGAGGAGGTTGCGGTGGGTAAGGTGGCACCGAGGAGGTGGAAGGGGATGAGGGAGAAGAGGGAACAGGTGACTGGGCAGGGGTGTGGGTTGATGAGGAAGGCGGAGGAGGCGGGTGTGAAGGAGGGGGAGGGGGTGGCAAAGAGGGTGCGATTTGTGTCGGGGGCTTGAAGTGTGAAGGTGTGATGATGGGTTGGATACTTGATGCTGCTAATGTACTGTACCTTAGAGTTGTGGCGACATGGCTAGTCGGTTATTGAGTTTGTTTTACGCGTGATATCAAAGAGCAACGTTCGTTTGACAGCAGAGTCAGTTTAGAGTTTTTCTTAGTTGCGGAGCACGGGACGGGACGCCTTTTGCTTGTCTTTATTGAAAGATGGACCGTTAAACTCGGGTATAATAACCAAACGGACTTATACATAAAATCGATAAAAAGTCTCCACTGATGCATGGACCCCACCGAGAGTGCGATAAGCGAGCGGCCTTTTTAAGGACAGGGAATAACTGGTATATTGAGTTGTTTAAAAAAAGAAAGTTCTATAATATTCTTGAAATATGCACATTTTGAAAATGTATAAGATTATGGTATTACTAGCAAAGAGGGGGTATGAGTTCTGGCGATAACGACTAATTATCTTGATATCTAAGCCTTGGAGTTCTTAGCATCCGCAATGATAACATCCGAAGCCTTCTCCGAAATCATGTAGATGGAGATGACAGGGAAAGTACCAGGAATCTTGGGGAAAACGGAGGCATCAACGACACGAAGGCCCTCGACTCCGCGAACCTTGAAGTTGGAGTCGAGGACAGCCATTTCATCGTCATCGGCACCGATGGGGCAAGTGCACGAGGCGTGGTGACCCCAAGCCTCGTACTTGGCGAATGTCTTCCACTGCTCATTGGTCTGGACAGACTTGCCGGGCCATACTTCCTCGAACTTGCCGTCGAGAGGGATGAGGCTCTGGAAAGCCTTGCGGCTGTACTTCATTCCCTCGACAAGGGCGTCAAGGTCCTCGTTACCGCCGACGGCGAAGTTGCGCTTGCGGATCTCGGGGACATCCTGGGGATCAGCGCTGCGCAGAGTGACGGTACCAGCATTGTTGCGAGCCTCGGCCTTGAGAGTGAGCCAGGTCCAGTGGTTCTGGCCGTTGGTGGCGTTCTTGAAGAAATCGGGGTAGTAGCCGTTGAAGTAAGCAGGCCAGCCAGCAATGAGCAGATCAGCGTTGCCGTGGATGGAGTTGCTAGCGCGCTTGGTAATGGCCAAAGCAACACCGTTGGTAGCGTAGACACCCTTTCCGATACCCAGAGGAAGGTTCTCCCACTTCTCAAGGCACTTGTCGTAGCCCTGGAGGAAAGTGCAGCCGTTGAGGAGAGAGATCTTGGTTGGGGCCTGGCCGGTGACGGGGACTTCGTAGCGATCCTGGAGGTTGGTACCCACACCTGGAAGCTCCTTGACGACCTCGATGCCAAACTTCTCAAGCTCATCCCTGGGTCCAATACCGGAAAGTTTCAGGAGTTGGGGCGTGTTGAAAGCGCCAGCGGAGATGATGACCTCGCGGGTAGCAGTGACAGCGCCCTTGGTGCCCTTGTCAGTGGCACGTCCAGACTGGCGTCTGGGGTCTGCGCCGTAAAGGGACCTTCCGGTCAAGAAGTTGACACCAGTGGCCTTGGGCTTGCCATCGGCAGTCTGGTTGAACCTGATGCTAGTGACAAGAGTGTTGAGCTGAATGTCGAGATGGTACTTGCGGCTGCCGTCGGCGTTCTTGGCCTCGATAACCTGGCGGAGGAAGTCGACTGGTCCGGCACGCTTGTAGGCAGGAATGTTCATGGACAGAGGAACCTGCCACATGCCCTCTTGCCGATCGCGGCTGGGGCTGGGGTTGTTAATGTCACGGAGCAGCACCTGAGCCAAGCCAGTGACGGTAGTCAAGAGCGACGAAAGAAGGGACTTGCCCAGGCCAGTAGCGGCGGCCAAGACAAGAGAGACGAGCTTGAGATCTTGAGCGATCAACGTCAAGTCGGTCACTGACGTCTCGAGCCAGCCAGAGAATCCGTGGCCAGCAATGCTGCTGGGCAAGTAGCGCGACCTCTCGAGACGGGTAAAGAGACTACGCATCTTCTTTGGGGCCCAGGAATCATCGCCAGTGAGTTCTTGGATGTTCGTCCAATCGCTGTTGTACGGGTAAATGGCAATAAGGGCATTGTGTCCAGTGCAACCGCCCAGGGATCCGACACGGGGGTATAGGATGCCCAGTGGCTTCGCACCAGCAGGGGGGCTAGCGCCAGTATAACGAGAGCCATCAGGAAGTTCGTAGGTGAGTTTGGTGTCCCTCTTCATCTCTTCCTCGTCGTCAAAGTGTTTGGCAAAGAAATCCCACCTCATTGGCTCATACTCCGTCGCAACAGCATGCAATGCTGGGACATTGTACTCGGTCGTGTTCGTTTGGTCGTCTCCAGCCTCTAGCAAAAGGACCTTGTGGCCAGCAAGAGCCAGTCTGGCTGCGAGGGGTGAACCACCAGCACCAGAGCCAACAATGACATACTCATAGTCTTCTAGGGTAGTGGTGTCGGTAACATTGGCAGCACGCTTTACATTGGCGCCGCCATAAGGGGTATGCTGAGCACCATCGCTGTTGTAGTAGTAAGCACATGTGACTATGTCATGTGTAGGTAGGTATAAGGGCAGGAAGCATACATGATACGAGCACCCGCAAAGGAAGTAATTAATGAAAGGACGGTAAGAGCCTTGATGACAATCATGGTGACAGTACCTTATGTGCGAAATTAAGTTAAAAGAATGACTGGGGGAAAAAACGAGGGTTGATATGCACACCACTGTGGCAAAGAAAGTGTGTAGGGGAGCTGGAAAAAGGCAAGTTCCCCTCACGATTTATCCTAGCATGCGCTTCACCTGGCGCCGTCACTATGTCCTGCCGGCAGAAGAAGGTCGTCCGCACCGTGATTGGGATCACCGATTAGCTATCCCCTTCTGCGCTCAAGCTTTGCTAGCAAGACGGTCTCTAACCTAACATGTCGACTCTCGCTTTGCCAAACCTAGTAGGAAGGGCCAATCTCGCAGTAGCGCCATCCAGAGGCAGCCCTGTCTGCAATGTCACGAGTCAGGCCGCCTAATTTACTCACACAAAGGGAAATGCTCGTTAATGCTAGGCTGCATTTTCTCTAGGCAGGAGAGTCGAGGGACCGCGCGTCAAACGTGCTAGGATTCGGGCCGCCCAAGACGTTGGACGAAATCTCGAGGGAGCCGTCCCGGTCGCCATGACTCGAGCCTCTCTTCTTCCCGGACGAGTGCCTCCGCCGACAAGATAGGCTCTCTTTCCTCCCAAATGTCAAGAATCGGAGACGGGATGGAATTTCGAGATCCTGCATCTGTCTCCGTGCCAATCCCAGAGGCATAAAGAAAATCCTGCCGCTTGGTTGGCTGGACATGTGCCGTTCACGCGCATATGTAAGCAGCCGCCGCGCCTCAGAGTGGGCCTCTCTCCCTATGCTCATCACCACGTCCAGGTCCCAAGCACAACCACAAAGGACCCATCAAAAGCTTCTCCACGACAGATTTCACATGGGTGATGGGCATACCTACGCAAGCAAGCTTCATGCCTGTACCCACTGTACCCCCACCTTTCATGTCGGCTCATATCTACCGACAAGCTAGCCGTTGGTACGGGTATTACTGGTAAAAAAAATGCTCCTAGCGGACGTTTTTCAGAGGGGACTAGCTTTCGGGGAAGAGATGCTCAAGGGCCCGTCGTGTGCGGCAAGGCTCAGGATTGGCATACTAAGTACCCCGGCAGTGGGTAAAACTGCGCACAGGTGGTTGTGCAGCTTGTTCCGCAGCCCTGATGTTTGTTCTCGATGCGACGCTGCTATCACTGTGACCCGTCGCTGTGGTTTGTCTTCGTCACCCTGGCTGTGGACATTTTATGCGGATCCATGACATCGGAGAATTGTCTCTTGGCTGTCAAGCTCATGAACTGAGGATGTACGGTACTTGCCGGGCCTTTTTCACGTCCAACAACTTCTGAGCAGGTCAACCGGAGAAGGCTTCCGTACTGTAGATTTATATTCATACATGTACGTACCTCCGAGACACTGATCATCAGTGTGGCTTCCGACACTACGCCAATCATCTTTTTTTCTGCTTGCACCAATAATACTTTTTTGTTGCTTTGCATTTTGGCAAAAGCACACCTTCCATCTCGCCATGAAGTTTGGAAACATCCTGATGGGGCTTGCAGCCTTTGCAGCCGGTGTTCAAGCACAAAACCCACTGGCGGCTCTGGCACAAAGTATGCCAAAGTGTTCGGTATGTTCGTCCTGCTGCAAGATGACCAAATCTCGTACCTAACACATGAGTGTAGTTGGCTTGTTTTATGGAGGTCATCCCCACATCATCCTGCGCGACAAATCTCACTTCGGCGTGCTTGTGCACAAACAAGGCTCTCAATGCCGCTGTTGCTCTGTGTGCCTCGAAGACATGTACCAAATACGAGCTTCTACGTAAGAGGATCCAGTCACCCACAATTGATGCGTTTGGGCCCTGACGACGGTGATAGAGACAAAGAATGTCAGCAGCAAAGGCTGCGGAGTCCCTGAACGCTACAGCGGCGAGAAATTCGTCGTCGGTGGCATTGTCGGATGTGCCATCGCTGTAGTATCCTTCATTCTCAGAATGGCCGCCAGTATCGGTAAAGGCGGTCGTCAGGTGTCATGGGACGATGCCACCATGGCCGTTGTGCTTGCCCTCGCCATTCCTCCTACCGTCTTTATCAAAAACTGTAAGAACTTGGTTTTCTTCCCAAAGCTAAGCAAACTTGCTGACATTCCTTTGCAGTGGTTGAGAACGGCCTTGGTCGAGACATCTGGACATTGAAGGATTACCAGATCACCAATGTCCTCAGGTACTACTTCTACGGAGAGAACTTTTACGTGACAGCTCTTGGCATCTCCAAGATTTCTATTCTTTTCTTCTACCTCCGCGTCTTCCCAGATAAGAAGTTCAAGATGATTGTCTACAGCGTCATGGGTCTATCGGCTGCGTATACCGTTGCTTTCTTCTTCGCTACCCTCCTGCAATGTACGCCTATCAGCATGGCCTGGACACAGTGGGATGGACTACACAAGGGTACATGCAACAACATCCATCTTCAGGG